CCTTAAGACTTTTACTCAAGTAAGATTCGTACTTTTACTCAAGTATCACTTTGTGGTACTTTATACAACACTGAGTTATGCTACAGCTAAAGGTACTAGCTGCTAAATGTGATTTTAGCTTTGTTTAGCAATGTCGATGTTGATAAAAAAAGCATGCATTTTCTGCACAAAAACAACGAGGACAGACACGTAACCCCTTCACTTGTCCGATGTGTGATGCAGTCATATAATCTTGTAACAAAATAAAAATATTAACCCGTATTCCCCGCAGAAAAAACAACAACAACAAACATGCAACCACTGCTGAAGCTAGCGGATGATTAGCAGCTAGGCCTGTTAGCAACAAGGTCACTCCAGTCGCGAGTCTGGTTTGTGTGTTTAAATGCTAAATATAGACACACATAGAGTTAAACTATTGAAATGAAAGGCATGAGTTGGGTTCTAATTCTTGCTGTAAAAATACTCACTTGAAATCTTCGAAAGGACACCAGCAGGACGGCTAAATAATATTGCCGCCGCCATCTTTGCTACTACGGTAGGCGCTTCGGACAAAATAAAGTTGCAAAATCATTCGCGTATTTGTGRCAAACTACAAAACTTAAAAATGAGACTTGCCAACAAAAATAACAAAAAAAAAAAAAAAGTATTTACATGAATCATGTTCATGAAATATGGCTAAAACACAAAAACAAAAATAAACAACATAAAGAAAACAGATAAAAATTATGCATAATAAATCATTCTCAAATGATGCAGACGTGTCTGGCAGGATTTTCCATCATGGGTCTGCTGTTTAACACTGGTTTACACTCAGAAATTAACTTTACTTTAAATTTTAAAGAAATTATCGATAAATCAATTGCAATGTTTGTTTTAACTCTAAATGCACATTTGATAGGATAAAACATGTTGGTATGGTATTACTTTACAAATACAAATAATTTATGGCCTAATATGCAAGCACCACCCCCACCCTAAAACAGAATTAATATCTCTAGCATATCATTAAGCTCATAAGAATAGGAAAAAATTATATTTTCATCTATCTTTATCTAATATTTTATGTAAACTACTTTATCTAATATTGTACATTTTTACATTGTTTAAACTGGTTTAATTTAATTTGCATAGCTTCCTGTTGAGATTACCTGAAATTTCTGTTGAATGTAGTACATTGTTCACAGTCCACAGCTTTTCATCTCACTCTCTCAGCTACTGGTCAGCCACGTTGCTGCGAGGAGTGGCCCGTGGAGTGGAGAGAGGCCTGAGGCGGAGAAGGGAGGCAGCTGACGGTGGAAGAGAACAGCTGGCCGGTTTGCTAACCGGAACATTGGCCAGCAGGGGCAACCACCACCAGGCCCATCCAGGAGGCTTGACGAGCAGGTCTGCAGTGAGGTGAGGGATTTCGCATTGGAGCTTGGGGCCTGCAGTGGAGAGAAGTCGAGGTGGGGACCTGTTGCTGGACCCGGTTGTTGTCAGGTGAGTCATGCCGAACAGACTCGGGCAAAGWAGAGGGGCAAACTTGGTGGAGGATAACTCGGACGATATGGACGAAATAAAAAAAAAATCACTGAACTTCATCAGTGTCATCATAATCATTTTAAAAACATTTGTTTTTATCCACGTTTGCAAACCTTTTAGATGCTAAAACCCATAAAAGAACTACATCTTCTTCAAAACTGCAAGGTGAGTGATGAGTGCTGAATGATTTGATTTTCCTGCTTTACTTTTTTTTAAGGTGGAAGTCTCTGTTTCTCTTCGGTTGGTAGCTACATCCATAACACAGCTTTCTGACATTTTTAAAACATTCGATAGCTTATATACACTCTATAAAACCAGACGATTGGCTTTTCTGGTCACGTGGTTAAGACGCACTCCTGCTGTTCTCACGCGTGCTTTGAACAACGCCTGAGCCCTGTTTCAGAAAGCAGGGTAAGTGCATACCCTGAGTAAGTTTTGGGGTAACTAGGTGCATATCCCRTGTTTTTTGGTTTCAGAAAGCCAGATAGCAGTTATCCTGAGTTAAGTTACCCCCGAAACTTACTCCATGAACCAACTCTGCTCCGTAGCAGGGTTACTTGAACATATCCTGGGTTAGTCTGACTATTTAGGTGACAGCTGTCATGAGGAAGTGTCAGGCATGGCGTGTGCTTTTCTCGAGGAGCCTGTGGACATAGGAGCTTTAATACTCCGCAGAAATCTACGTCGGGAGAGAGTAATCAGACTGAGATTAGATGTGTTCTCATTTCCAGACGATTATTTGTTTGAGCGCTACCGGTTTTCACGCTCCAGAGTTAGATGGACCTTCGTCAGCTGATCCTCCTCCACAGTCCTTTTGAGTTAAAATTAACAGTCATCATTTTACACAATAAAATTTGAATAAAATTTAAACCTATAGTTAAGCAACACATCCGGTCTGCCCCCTCTCTGTGACAGCTGACAAAGTTTCTTCTTCATCATCATTATCATCCTGTGATGAAATATAATAAAATGGATTTGTCGTACTGAAATGCACTTAAAACTTTTCATAAATACAAAATAAAAAATAACAATTTTAAATAATAATAATCCTTACAGCAGCAATAAAGATCTGTGACCCAGAAGGGACCTCAAGAGACAGAACACCATCCACCACTGATGAGACAAATGATGGGATATTTAATTTAGACTTTCATAACAATGTGCCACTTATTCCTTAGATTATGTGACTGCACCTTTATGTCAATTTGCATAAGGTTAATGTTGTAAGAGCACTAGGGCTGCACCGATTAGTTGAAATAATCGATGACGTTGATCATGTAAATTTGTCGACGCAGATTTTTTATTATCGATTCACTTTATTAACCACCATGCGAATGTTCATGCAATTCCATTTCGGTACCTAAATGCATCATTGCGACCGTATTGGCATAAGAGTGGTGAGTCTTCCATGCTTGTCCTGATCGCAGCATCGCGCAAGAGCGTAATGACGTCAGCAGCYGCTGCTTCAGTTCAGTCTGAAGCTTGAAAACAAGCCTCGCAGCTCCTGGAGTAAAATTTACCAAACAGACCACCTCTGAATTATCTACTGGATTAATCATATTGTGAACAAGACATTCACTTGCTTAAAGTAAATAAAGTACCGCCACTTTCTTTATTTCATCCACCATTAAACAAAGACTGGTGTCAGGTCGAGCCACGTTCCCCCATCAGACGGTTCCCCCATCAGACGGTTCCCCCATCAGACGGTTCCCCCATCAGACGGTTCCCCCAGCGTCTCAAACAACAGAGGAGCTTCCCGACACACGTCTGACCTAAAGAGCACAAGCAGCCAACAAGTGTTGGACGTGTTCTGGATGTTCAAAACGTAGCTTAAATACCTTTGTGTAATAAGACAAAACAGTCTTGTTGTTTTCAACAGTTTTCACCCTAAAGAATAAGTTACACAACTGATGTTACAATAC